CTGAAGAGCTGAGGGACAGTGCCCAGGCCCAGAGTTCAGGCCTCACAACGGACAAAAAAAAAAAAAAAGTTCTGGAACAGTGCCCAGGCCCTGAGTTCAAGCCCCATGACAAAAAAAGCAGGGGTGGGGGTGTGTGGGGAGGTGGCTCAGCAGTAGAGTGCTTCCCTCTGGGTTCGATTCCTCAGCACCACATAAACAGAAAAAGCCAGAAGTGGCGCTGTGGCTCAAGTGGTAGAGCGCTAGCCTTGAGCTGAAGAGCTGAGGGACAGCGCCCAGGCCTAGAGTTCAGGCCCCACAGCCAACCAACCAACCAAAAAAAAGGGTAGCAGTATTAATCACTTTACTTGTTTGTCAGGTCACAAATTATCAATATTTTTATATACTTACAATTTAAAGTGGATAGCCTTTTCACTTAAATATTTAAGTAATTCCTCTTTCCCCCGCGTTTGCTTCTTGGTGCTGATCACTCAGCACGTTCCTTCCAGCCAACTGGCCCCGTGGCTCTCCGCCTCTCTTGCTGGCAGGTGCAGTTCTCCCGGGTGGCCCGGGTGTGTAAACGGGACATGGGGGGCTCACCTCGAGCCTTGGACCGCCATTGGACATCCTTCCTAAAGCTGCGGCTCAACTGCTCTGTTCCTGGGGACTCTACCTTTTACTTCGACGTCTTGCAGGCATTGACTGGGCCTGTGAACCTGCATGGTCGCTCTGCTCTCTTTGGAGTCTTCACCACTCAGACCAATAGGTTGGTCCTTGGCTGACTAGTACTGAATCTGTTCCTTGTTCTAAGTTCAAACTCCCCTCTTCAGTTCTATTGTTGGAGACAGTGAGGGTGTACTTTAAACACATCTGGTTTTCTGTTCTGCCCACTTGTTTTTCTTTTTCTCCTAGCATGGGAGCCAGTGGCCACCGAGTCCCGGCTCTGCCTCCTGGCATAGTGCGTGAAGGAAGGGCGGCCGCTCTTCTTACAGGCAGGAGCTTTGCAGGCCCTTTCTTTCATCCCTCATTTTTTTTCTGGCTTCCTCAGCATTCCTGGCTCTGCAGTCTGCGCCTTCTACCTGGATGATGTTGAGCGTGGGTTTGAGGGCAAGTTCAAGGAGCAGAGGAGTCTGGATGGGGCCTGGACCCCTGTGTCTGAGGACAGGGTCCCTTCACCCAGGTACCCAGGGGTGGGGGTGGGGCTTTTGCTGGGGGCAGAAGCAAAGTGTCTCGTCCCAAGGTGGGATTAGGAGAAAACCTAAAGTGGCCCCGGCCTGAGCAAGGAGCTGTTGGGGGTCTGCAGTGACACTTGGGTTGCAAGAGGAAAGGGAATGCAGTGGTGCCAGTGTCTGTGTGGAGGAAGCAGAGGCTTTACCACCCATGTTTGGGAGCAGCATTGGGGGCACAGCTTCACGAAGGTCAGCTTCCCTGCCCTAAGGTGCTCCTGCCCATGTGCCTGCCAGGCCAGGGTCGTGTGCAGGTGTGGGAGGTGCTGCCTTGTTCTCCTCTTCTCAAGACCTCCCTGATGACGTCCTGACTTTCATCAAGGCGCACCCACTGCTAGACCCCGCTGTGCCGCCTGCCACCCATCAGCCTCTCCTCACGCTCAGTAACAGGTATGGGGCTATGAAGCACTGGCCACTGCCCCCTGTCCTTAGCCGCTCTTCCTTCTCGGGCTTTACAAAGTCAATTCCATTGGTGGGAGTAAAAGCTCGCGAAGGCAGAAGGGGGAGAGCGAAGAAGGGAGCCCAGAGGGTGCAAGGGAAGGACACTGGAGCGGGAACCTGGGTTCTAACCTTCAGCTAGACAGGTTGCCCTCACCCAAGGCCTATCACTCCAGGGCGCTATTGACCCAGGTAGCTGTGGACGGTATGGCTGGCCCCCATAGTAACACCACCGTCCTGTTCCTTGGCTCCAATGACGGGACAGTGCTGAAGGTGCTGCCCCCGGGGGGGCAATCCGGGGAGCCTGAGCCCATCCTATTGGAAGAGATTGATGCCTACAGCCCTTCGCGGTGAGTCTCTGGAGGGCTGCTCTCTGAGGGGCAGAGGTGGGCTGGGAGGTGGCGCATGGCTGTGTGGGAATGGACTAGGAACTCTAGTGATGGCTTTTGATGGGCCAGGAACGGTGGGTGGAGAAAGGAGCATGGTGAGGAGACCTGAGCACACAACTTAGTTTGTGACCTCCCTTCCTGTTCATCGTTTTGGGCAAAAGGGAACCTCGTTTGCTGCATTCTGATTCCTTCTGGCCTCACCCTAGGTGCAGCGGGAAGCGGGCAGCCCACACAGCACGACGGATTATAGGGCTGGAGCTGGACACTGAAGGTCACAGGCTTTTTGTGGCCTTCTCTGGCTGTATTGTCTACCTCCCTCTGAGCCGCTGTGCCCGGCACGGGGCCTGTCAAAGGTGAGAGGGGCCTGAAACCCAGTGGCACTGCCTCCCCAGGCTTCCTGGGGAGCAAGAGCGCAAGTGGGCTGGAGGGTGAGATGTAAGGGGAAGCTTGGGGTAAAAGGGTACTTGAACGGTTTAAAGGCCTCGAGGGCAGGCTAGGATGGGAATATGGGGCCGGGAACTCCCCATAAGCCAGGGGAAGAGTAGAAAAGGCCGTGAAATAGAATGTGACTGGAGTGAAGGGGGTCCCAGTCTCACGTGACTCAGTTTCCCTTAGGAGTTGTCTGGCTTCTCGGGACCCATACTGTGGATGGCATAGCTCCAGAGGCTGTGTGGATATCAGAGGACCTGGTGGGTAAGTAAGGAGCCCGTAGATCTCCTGAGGATCATATTCTCCACCACTAAAGAAGGGAAGCCTGGGAAGGGGGGAGGGAAGATGACAGGAGAGTAAAGCTGGGGGACTGTGTGCTAGGGAGTGGGAACCAGGGAGGGTGAAGAGGGTGAAGGAGGGGTGAATGTGATTGAAGTGCTTCTTGAGCAGGTATGAAAATAGAATAATGAAACCTGTTCCAAGTGTTCAAAAGGGGGAGGGGGGGTGAAAAAGATTAATAGGGGGGATGAATTTGATCAAAGTACATTATATGCATGTATGGAAATATCTAATGAAACTCTGTTCCAATTAATATACACTGATAATATATTAGAGAGAAAAGAATTAAAAGAATTGAGAAATAAAGGAGGTGTGGGAGATGGGGATGAGGCACAGAACTGCTCTGAGTTGCCTTCTTTTCCTCCTAGGCCTGATGTGGCCCTCGCTGGGAACCACGAGCCCACGGAGCATGGTGACTGCCGAGGTAAACAGAGGCACACGGCTGCACATGGTCTCATGGCCACATCTCAGGCTCTTGTCTCTCTTACCTTCAGTTCCACCTCCTTCAGTTCTTTACGAAGCTTCCTCCTGCCCCCGTGTTTACCCTCTATTTTCTTCATAGATGGAGCCACCGGGAGTCAGTCTGGCCCTGGGGACTCTGCTTATGGTGAGTTCTCTCCTTCCAGCTCTCCTTCCCCTTGTTCAGCCTCCATACCAACTCTGTGGCCAAGAGCAGCAGCAGACAGCACTCTGCACACCTCATGGTCCCAGAAAAGGGTCAGCATCCTCCAGATACCAGCATCTGGCTCAATGCCTGGGTGCTTAATAAATAGGACTTAAAACAAATAAAGGCTGTGTACGGTGAGCCCTTCCACCCCAAAAGGAAGTACAGATTAGAGTTCTGAACTCTTAGGTTCCCAAGATGGGGGCAGAGAGGAAGAGAACCTTTGTATGGGGGTGGCAGGGGGGAGAGCAGGAGCCTCACCGGCTCTGACCTGGTCTCTGTCACCAGTGCTTCTGGGTCCTGGCCCTTCCCTTGAGACCCCCAGTTCCCCCAGTGATGTCCACCCCGGGCCCCTGTCTTCCACTCTTGGAGCTCACACTGAGGGTAAGGGGATTTACCTGGGAGGGACGAGGAGTGCAGTGTGGGGCTGCTGACGGTTGGAGAATCCTCAGGCTGGTGTGGGGCGCCCACTGATGCCTGTGTGGGGCCTTCCTTGCCCAGAGCTGGGCATCGCAGCCCGCCGCCCCCTGCACGAGCAGTTTGGCAGAGGTTCTTGGCATGGCTCACAGGGGCCAGGCTGGGCTGGAGACCCCCCAGATCTATGCCCCAGACGGTGTGGGGGGGGGGCTGCGGGGCGGGGTGGGGCAGGCAGTGAGGTCTGATCCGAGGCGACTGGTGTTAAGACTTCCTGAACTTGCCCTGGAGGCCCAGCCTCGGCGGTCTCCGCGGGGCTGAGCCTCCCTCCTCCCTCTCGGTCGGCAGGCGTGCGCCGGGACCTCCTCCCCGCCTCGGCCTCCCGCTCCGTCCCCATCCCGCTGCTCCTGGCCAGTGTGGCCGCAGCCTTCGCCTTGGGCGCCTCGGTCTCCGGCCTCCTGGTCTCCTGTGTGTGTCGCCGCACCCACCACCGTCGGAACAAGGACGTGGAGTCGCCGGTGCTCCCGCGCCCTCTCTCGCTTCGCAGCCTGGCGCGGCTGCACGGGGCCGGCCTGGAGCCCCCGCCGCCGTCCAAGGACGCCGACC